AATAGGGTGACATACGAAATGGCGAAGAAAATTTGAATCTATGTAAAGTTTCACTTTAGTAATAACTGTGAACTAGATTTTTTTATAATTTTACAATATTCAAGTTTCTTTATCATAATGTAATTTATTAAATGTTTAATTTATGTCTGTCTTTCGAAGAATTACCATACCTTACCGAAATTGACAAATGAGATAAGAGATGAACATTTTTTCAATATTATTTGATATTAACTTCTGCAAGAATATACAAATGAATGAGTCACGTTAGAAAGTTCAATAAACGGTAAAAAAAAAAATTTGACGTAATAGGTTTCATTTAAATTTAACATTTAAAAGTTTGGGAAGATGTAATAATATATATAGTATGTGTAGTCATTACCTTAAGATGTAATGATATATATACTATTTCAAATCCTATCTTGGAATATGTCTTTTCTCGTTTCGTTGAAAGTAAGATTTATATTTAAGGAAATATATGTATATCACAATGACCTGTTACATTTATTTTAATACAACGGAATTTATATTATAAAAGCATTTTCTAGAATCTTTAGAAACTGGAAAGAAAATAAATAATCTGTGTTTATATGGAGCTATAAATCCATGATTATATTACTTTAATCGAAATTATTTAATAAATTAATTGAACCGGTTACCACAGGTCGCGTAGTATGGGTCGCCAATCTGTAGAATACTAGTACTTTCATACAATTTTCTTCATGTCCTTATTTAACGTATTTAAAATAAAAGCAAACAACCTTTAATCGAGAGCTTAATAATTGATTTCTTTCTCTTGTCAAAATAATCTAGATAAATTTAAATAACTTGTAATTGCTTATTAAGTATAAAGAAATGAAGTTTCGAATAGGAAGCAATGAGCAATGAAATAGATTTTTTAAAAGATCTGTGAACATTTTGCATGTGTATGTATGTTCATATATTTTTATTAATTAAAAACAAGTAAGTGGTTTTTTGCTACTCCAACAATTAAACTAACATGCGTTGGAATTTCTTAGCTCTTTATTTTAACTCTGAAGGATTTTGTAGGAACATTTCTATACGTCAAGCTTTACCGGATTGTCGTCTTCATTCGACATAAGATATTTGTTATAACATTAATTGTGACGCTCCTGTCAGACTGCTTTTGAACCTAAATTCAAGAACCTCGACATTATAAATACAAAATAAATGTGATTCAGACTGCTGTCTATATTAATCTCAAATCCGCGGAGTGTTCTTCAATTATAACTTCAGTGAAGGATGATTTGACATTTAAAATACTATACCGTTTTGTCTCTTTTTCATTGTCATTAAAATGTCACATGTGCATTGGATGTGAAGGCTAAGAAATTAAGGTAATTAGATTTTTATTTCAATTGTTACCGATGTACTGTACTTTAAATATTACAATTAATAAGTTAAGTCCATAGTTCTTAAATATTATGCTGCATTGTAAAATGCTACGATGAGTTTAATGAGCATATTATGTTGTTTCTTCGTAAGTTTGTAAGGACTTCGTAATGTTTGTAAAGTATTGAATTTTACGAGTTTTGAATTCCATTAAATTTATATTAGTAATTATAATGTATTTGAAGCTGATGAGTTTGCTTTTATGTCATCTATCAAAGGATGTTCTTTGACTCATTCTACATTTTATACCGTTAAGAGAAAAAAATTGTGACTTAGGATAGTGCACGCTGCAAACTTTGATAATGTCATGAGCTATGCAAATTATTTTGACCTCGTCACACCTGATTCGAGTAGTCTGATCCACTTTTGGTATGTCTCGAATCAAATTTATTATACATCTAAATGTTAATTAAGGCAATGAGGAATACGTTATGTTTTGACGAATATTGGCTGTTATCTAACTAAGATGCTTACTTTATGACAAATTCTGATCTAGTTTCAGATACAAAACATAATCTGTGCAGTAAGCAACTTATAGCGGTCGGGGCGGGGACCTACTGCGGCGAAAATAATAACCTGAAAAAAATACTGCATAATATTATTTAAAAATGCATCTGACTGGAAAGATTGTAAGTATTATTAATTGACCTAAATTATTTGTTTTATATTTAATATTTAACTATTAGTAAATATTGTTAATCAATATTTTTAGTTTTTATTCCTTAATTTGTAAATATTTTAAATGTTAATTAATAGCAATTATAAAATTTAGTATGAAAAATAAAATATATTTTTAATAATTTTAGTAATAATATAAGTTATTTATTTGCATGTTTATTTCAAAAGTGTAATAGAGATTTGAATTTAAATAGAGAGGTCATATCTCAGGAAGATCTTTAGATTAGCAGTTTTGATTAAATAATTTTAATGACTTTTACAATTCCGATGTAATTGTGCAAATTGACTTTGATACCAAATACATTTACCTTCAACCTTATCAAATAAAACAAATCAAAGGAGAACTAAAAAGAGGGCTTGTGATAATAAAAGGTTTTCTAAAGGAACTTTGTTGTCCCTTTAAATTTTACGAAAACAGAAAGTTCGACGAGTCGTCGATTACAAGTGTCATTTATTTTCGATGAATACTTAATCATTTCTTCTGCCTTTAATAAAAAATCTTTGCACAATAATTATTAATGTTAAGGACAAGTGACAGCTGAAATAAAATAGTGATTCCTGAAAATTTTACTAATTAAATTTCGGTTTCCAAATAACTCGGGAAGTCCTATTTTTCCTTCCGAGTCCTGATCGAAATATGATTACTTAATAATACTTTAATTATGAATTATGTATATACCATATTATAACAGTCAGTGGTGGCCTAGTGGTTAAAAGGCCCGCCTCTCATACATCATTTAGAGTCATATGTAAGAGTATTTAGACATCTCTGATTAATCCATTCCCAAAGAGAGTTGATGTCAGGCAGACTGCCGGTCGTAAAAACAATTAGCCAAAACTATTCACAACATGTAAGGCAGACCCTGGCTAAAAGTTGGGAAATTGCCAGAAGAAGAAGACCATATAATAAAGTACGGATGTAATTGTTGTTCAAAGCACAAAACAATTGAATTGTTTTTTGTTTTGTTTCAAAGGTAACTAAGGATATTTTACTCTGTTAGGCCCATTGAAAATTTTCAACACTGATTTATGTTGGTGGTATTGTTAGAATTTAGAGACCTTGACTTTAGAGAGTAAAGCGTTAAAAATTTAATTTATTAATATCCAATTTCAGGAGATGTGTGTAATAGAATAAAAAACGTAGAATAAAGAGTATCTGGTAAGAGTCTATGAACTTCTGAAAGGTTTTAAACATAATGTGTGACCGTATGGACAATAACTCATATTAAGTAAATTGGGGCGAACTTTTAATTAACATTACATTACCGTTAATATAGCTAAGATTATGTTTGAGTGAAAGAATCAAACGAAAAAAAAACATAATTTACAGTTATATTTCCCAGTATACTTTTAAAGTACTTGTATGTGATGGTAAATATGTTAGTTTTTAGCGATAGGTGTTTGTCATTAAAATCGTTACATGTAAAGATATTATCAACATAAGATATACATATATTAAGAAACTGAATTATGTCTCTATGCACTAATGTCATAGATAATATAGTACTTTAAATTTTGCATTCCACTAGATAGTATTGTTGAAGACAATAATATTTTTTACAATTTTCTGTCTTGTTTTTTGTGCAATAAAGGATATATATATATTTACCTTAAATTGTGTTGAGTTCGTTGCGTTAGGACAATGAGTAATAGAAGTTATATACCCAATATGGTAAAAATATATAACTTCAACATTCCTCTATTTTCTTAATATTATCGTTCATTTTAAAACAACTGGCCAATAATTTCGTTTAAAAATACAGCGATCAAATAGTTAATTTGCACATTATAAATTATGTGGTCGTAATATTTGGGGTTAACGCCCTTATGTTATTGGCATTCCAAAGATTCATAACGCTATTTTTTTGAACTTATTATGTTATAATTTTTTTCTTCACTTTCATAAGTGTCTTTAATTTGTGTAATGTTGTGTTATCGTCTCAAACGGTCATTGATTAAACGTTTTTTTGCTTTAATATTTTTTTTATAAATAATGTCTATTGTAACATTACATCTTCATTTCTATGCGTTTGTATACCGGTAGATATAAAAATAATTTTTCTACAAATATTGCTCTCGGTATTAGTATGCGAATACCAAAAACTAGAAAATTCAACCACGTGTAAACCAACGTGTGTGAAAAGAAACATGAATAAAGAAACCATCAAAAGTGACGATGGTTTTATTGGGTTTTTTACTCCAATACTGTTTGTTTTATGATGATGGTATGTGTGACTTTACTTCATCATTTATAAGATATTCTATAAGAAAGTTACAGCTATTAAAATAATCATGCCTCCATAAATATAACTAATAACTTTAAGATCATTTGTCAAAATTGTAAGGTAAATAAAACTTAAAATTTTTGGGTTATTTTATATATTATATAAATAATCGATATTATCTAATATATAAACTTGACAATTAATGTTTAGGGAAAGTTAAATAATAAAGATTGTCATTATTATACAACTTTAATTTTGATATAAATAAAATGAAATAAGTAATAATCATATAAAAATTTTATATTTTACAAAATGTTAATGTAACTGTTTATAACCGTCTTTAAATAAGGTCAATGTAAGCTACTCGCTAAGAACCAATAGGCAGGAAATTATATGATTATAGCATTGTTTTTCAATAATTAATTAAAGCATGTTTAACACATTTCATTTAGAATGAAATGTTAAGCATCATTTTCTTTTATTCAGAATCATTTATGAATGTACATCCATATCTATTTCCGTAAATATTTATTACTGTAAGATTTCCTTAATTATATGAGAGTTATTTTTCTCATAGATTTATATGAGAAGCGTCTTTAAGTAATAAAAACGTTTATTATTTAAGTAATAATGCCGAAATCAATACAGAGAGTGATAATTACACATTTTTATTGAATACAATTACAGATGTTGGTGATTTCGCTGTGGGCTTTAGTTCAGTGTTCGCCGTTTGATGATGGAAAATATAAACATAAGACATATGATTTTTACGACGACGGAAAGTATTACAGGCCTCTAACCGAAGGGAAATATGTACCGACTGATGAAGGGAAATACACTTATATATATCAAAGAGGAGTTTATCCCTATGACGGTACCTACAAACATTTAGAAAGAGGAGATTCAAATGATTACATTGGCTACCAAATCTACGCTCCTCGGTTCCCGTTCGTTCACAATGTGATTAAGTCAATATTAAGGAAATATATCTCACCGGACATCATAGTTATCGGTGAGGGATTAGAAGAAAGTGCTGACAGCATAAACAATGTTAGAGCTGACGACGAAATAGCTATGAAATGCCATGTCATTGATTCAGATGCCAAAAATAAAACCGAAGTTGTTAAACCGTAAGTATTCACCAAACATTACAAATTAATGGTTTTAGGTTGACACTAATAGTTTTTGAAATAATCAGAATCATTTGTTTTGAATTTTAACATACTTATTAAAAATTGATTACAAAAACGAGAACATAATATATAATACGTTAGGTTTAGGCCCCGAGCGGAATTTTTGTCTAGATATTTTGTAGTTTGAATGTAGTGAATCCGTCCGTTGCTTACTTGTCGTGTGACCTTTATACGTTCCGTTTAGAGGTCACTGTTCGAGGTTCTTATAAAAATTAATATTAAATGGATCACTAATATTACATCTTCGGAAATATAGAGTTGTTAATTATGACATAAGAATGTGATCTGATCATTTTGAAATAAATTATGGTTGAAGGTTTCCTGCGGAGTGCCCTTAAAAATATAAACTAGTAAGAAAAAAAAATAAGACAATAGAAAGTTCACGTAAAGGAAAAATCAAAAAAACTTAAGTTCATCGCTTTAAATATATTTAAATTAATGCAAATTATTTCTAAAATAGTCATAAGAAGATAACCTAGTAATTTGATACAAGCTATTAAATATATCAAATTCAAGGATATTCTAGGTCTTTTAGTGATCTAAAAGATGTTATACCTAATATCGAATGGAGCATATGATTTGCTTATATTATACAATATGTCACATACTAATTTTGGTTCCAATAAAATATATTATCCTATCGTTTCGTTCTTCGCGATGAGGGTACCGGTTTTCTGTTAGGAATGCATTTTAATGAAATTCCATCATAAATTTCTTGTTAAAAGATCCTGTTGAGTTTATTATAGATTAAATAATATTCTGACGTATTTCTATCACGGAACTATATTATTAATTATCAGAAATGTTCCAATAGCCTCAACTTAAATGATAATGAGGTTATAAGGATAATATATGTTATTTTTAATTTCCTACTATGTCATTTAATTTATGATAGGGGAAACATTGACGTCTGTATTTTACTACGATAGAATCCAATGAGGACGATAATTAAATGCATATGTGCATAAACGGTGCGAAGTAATGTCATTAATTGTTGTGACACATTGTATATAAAATGTTTATAAAACACCATATAAAAATAGTAAATGAATATTTTATAAGCTTTTATTTAAGTTTTTAGTAAGAACTTTTTATTTAAATGTTAATGAGTATTTTTTAATTACTGTAGGTTTGAATATGGTATTTGTAAATGACAACATTTTAATATATGGCAGATACAATATTCTTCTTTGCAACCCATACTAAATCAATTAAAATAATTCAAACGGTGCCTTAGCAACACAATAATTAACATTAATTATTATTATAATGAAACTGTAATATTTATTTATATATTTACTAATATTACTTTACGTATATTGTATTTAAAGTTCTGGGAACAAGAGTTTTTCTCTTTTGAAATAATTTGAGAACGTATGACGTTCGATAGCTCAAAGAGTGATTATTGACTTGCCCTTGTATGCTTGTTTTTTTGTTACTATCCGAAGTTTACTACAGAAATCCAAAGTTGACTATAAAAATTTCCGAGCTTATCTCTATGTAGAAAAGTACCTATTATAAGTAGTCTTTTGGGGCTGGTCAACATCTATTTGAACTGGACTGAAAACCTTTTGTCATATTTTGATTTTTATTTTCAAATAAAAAGTGCTCCCCATTATTTTATAGGCAGGCTGAATATATCGTTAACTTAAAAATATTCTACTTATTTAAATTTCTCTTAACAATTATTTTTCCGATAATTTCATCTCTTTTTGCATTGTGGGTTTAATAAACTTTGTTCATTTTAAAAGGGTTCATTGCTCCTTGCCAACATTTACATAGAAAAATTAATCTTGCGATAAGATTAAAGTTTTGACTTAACAAATTGATCGATTAGTATATTGACATATTAAATATATTTTTGTTTCTGTTGAATCGTGAAGAGTTGAATACCCTTAAGTTATTTAATACTATTAATTTTGACAGCTTAAAATGTTACAAAAAATCTATTTGTTATTTAATAATATATTTATTAAGGAACACAATTTTTTGCCATGTTGCCTTTAGATTAGTGCATCGATAGATGTTGATATTTTATTTGCGGTCTTTAGTTTATATTGATATACACAGTTTAGTTCAGCTATTGTCATTCTTCAAAATTTGTTGAAATACAAACCAAGGAGAAAAGAAAGACTTATGACAGTCATTTTTATCAAATATTCGTTAGTGTTATGTATTGTTTATAAATTACATAAATAAATAGTTCAACGTACCGCATGGGCCGATATGTTCATATATATAAACCCCATATTTGTCAGGAATTTAGAAATTAGTTTAAACATTTTAAAGAATAACACAATCTCAGTATAAATTAAAAGACAAGAAAAATGTACTATATATTATTACAAATCAATTTGCTATAATATCTTAACTCCATATGGAGGTTTTGCCTTTAAATATTCGTAGGCGCTTTTCAATAAAAGCGCTTAACACTATGTCTATTATTTTTACTTAAAATGTTTATATATAAGATAAGTAGCTGTAGATTTTATTTCCATTTCACATTTTTGATATCCAAAATTCTTTTGGTATTTTTTACACCATCATACGGAATAGAAGAGTTTTTTCGGAATAAAAGAATCATCTGCATTATCTGATAACGATATTTCAATATAAGGACAAACACCACATTCATTTTTATAATGCAAATACATAGTTTCAAACCTTCTCCCTAAAATTAAAAGAGCTTCAGAAATACTTTTACATAGTAATTTATACAGGAATACATTCGCATACTTACCGGAATTTCAGGTATAGAAAAGTTATATATGAAATAATAAATATGATATGAGATAACTATCATAACAATTAATAATTTACCGAGTCTACCTATAATTTTGACATAAATGAGTAAAAAAACTATTTGTATCGACCAACATCTTTAATATAAAGGGTAAAGAAAGATTTTTTCGGTTCTTATTCTATTAACATTATATCTATTTCTCCATATTTCTCTAAAACATGTATGTAATATATATGTTAAACGAGCAAAAATGTATGTTAAAAAAAATAGTTTTATATTTTCAAAATGAGAACCTAACATTTAAATTAAAAGCTTATTTACTATTTAATTTTAATTTAAAATTAATGGTATATTTCAATGAATCTTAACGATGTAATAGGCATATTAAGTTTTTTATAGTCATTTATTAGAACATTAATTGTATTATTAATTTAATTGCGGAACTTCCTGTTTGAAATCTCCTGTTTTTGGATAACAAGTACTTGACGACCCGTATATGTATATATTTATTGCGAATACACTATTATTTATTAACTGTAAGTTGGTAGAGACAAGATGTGATCAAGTTATTACAGCTCGAACGTGGGCTACCCTGAATGAGGATGTATCATCTTCTCAGAGAAGATCGGCATGAAGTAGTCTTATTATCTGCGTTCTGTCCGATGAGATCCGATTGGACTTTAGCTGTTCCCGACCTTTACTCTTCTACTTCAACAATTAAGGTCGGCAACGCATCAGCATTACCCCTTATATTACAAATGTCTATGGGCAACGGAGCCTACCTTCCATCAAGAACGCCGTCTGCTCATTTGCCAACTTTCACATAAAAAACAAAAATAGTGAAGGTTAAAAATAAAATAGTAACATGTCATAATTTTTTAAATAAACAAATCTACATAGCATTATATTAACGGTTTTAAGACAAAAAAAAAAAACTTCTGTTTGTATTCAAGTAGCCATAGCTTTCATAAGAGCAGAGAGAATATGCCTCTATGCAACCAAGTAACCTTCTCAGAAGCGGCGTTGATTTGCCGCTAAAGGTTTCTACACGACCTCTAATGACGGAAAAGGTGAATCGATGAGTCGTTTCATGCAATTTATTATGACAATTGATATTTAATAAAAACGTTGGGCAATACTTGTGTTAGAATTTAACTAGTTTTTGATTACGCTAAGTAAACATAAAATTCAAGAAAATTATTGTTATTGATGGGATAAAATTAACTGTTACCGGGATAAATACATTTAGTGTCGATATACGTATATGTAATCAATATGAATATATAGATTTTTTATTTTAATCCAAAGAGGCAAATAATTTTTGATTAAAGTTTTATTTCATCCTGTGTTAAAAGAGCTAATCTTAAAAATATAAGATGACAAAAATCTTTATATTTGATAAGTATTCGTTGAATTCTCAATCTTAAATGTATTTTTTATTCTTTTGTGACGAAATGAGTTAACTTAAATTAAATATAACAAAGAAAAAATTTTAAAAGTTGAACATGACCTAAACAAGGAATCGCCAAAAATGTCTAGTGTGTTATTTGCATGCAGGTCCTAATGTACTAACGGTTTCATTAAGAACGTCGACATTTCGTTTACGAGTTTTAAACATTACTTTTGAATAGAAATACAATGATGTAAATAATTTAAAATGATTGATTAAAAATTAAGCACCTAAAGATTGTCTTAAAAGAAACTCTTATAAAGTTTAGATAAATAATAATTCAGAAAAACGTGAGTCAGAAAGACATTCATGGCTATAACAAAACAAAGAAAAAAAAATTCAAATATATGTCATACAAATATATTATGTGTTAACGACGACTTCAAACTCCCAAATTTCTTTGTATAATTTTTCCTGTATGTTAATATTGTCAATTCTTATGAAATTTTATTGATTGATTTTTTAGATCCAGTTACAGTAATAATTTATTCGTTTTATCCATTGTTGATAGTTGACATAACAAAACTCAAACCTTTTTACTTTTGCTTATTTTTTTTATTTTCAATAATTTTATACGCATTGTAATTAGTCATTGTAATTTGTAATTAGTCAAATCATTCCAAGTGAAAATTCAATCAAAGCCACTATAAAAATAATATCAACAACAAAATTATATCACTTAAGCAAGATAAATATATCATAATTATATTTTGAATAATATTGTATTTCAGTTATCAAGTAATAAAATATATTAGGTATATATAAAAATGTACAGCTTTTGTTTTGTTGTACAATTATATGTAGTATAATTTCAAAGCTTGTTAGGAACATAAACTTTAATCATGTTTAAATGGTCATAAAAGATTCATATACATAAATAACATATACTAAAATTTTATTGCCGAAGCACTTACTACACAGTACTTAGTACTATTCAGTAAAATAGTACATAACGTTCTATATATTAAATATTATGTATTTTTATCAATTTCAGTTTCCCGCCCCACCTAAACATTAAGGAAGGTGAGAAGTTGGGTACAATTTACAATTTCAAAGGAAGCAAAGTGTTAAGTCCGGCTAAGGATCCATTAACAAAGAAAGTCAAATTAGAATACGAGGTGTTCGTGAGGATTGTAGAAGATTTTACAGAGTAAACATAGATTATGTAAATTATGAAGCTATACGTATAGATACTTTAATACAACCGGATGTTAAATTATAATAAACTATTACTAAAAATTATTTAGCGTTTTATTTATTTTTAGTAATTTAAAAATATTATGATTTTATTTCAAATTTACGTTTAATGTTGTTGTTCTATCAGAATTATTCTGTTCTAATTCAAGAATTATATTTTTTCGATTAGGTTTTTTAATTCATTAATTTATATATGTATTTTGTTACATAAGATAGTATAGAAACCAAATTAATATAAGGTAGAAAAAACCTTTTGCTAGGTTTAGTTATATAATAGTTGTAAAATTTTGTTAAAATTTTTATATTTAGTATTATTCTATACTCACAAATTAATTCAGTTGAACTCATTTTAGTACTACGAAACTTAATATTATTTAACTTTAAATTTAAATCAAAAAGATGTAATGAATATTGTATATGTTTAAATTCATATTCATATTTTCAAAAAAGACAAGATGTAAGGAGCTCATACGACGTCTGATCTATGGCAGCAACAAAGTAGCATTGTGAGACGATTCACATAAAGTAGTCCGCTGCCGGAAGCCGGGACAAAAGTAATTATAACATTTTTGCAGAATGATCGAATTTTTGAACATGGGTGCGGCTAATGTCGTAATACATCTAATCGGACTAAATAAGGTATGTCCAATGTCATCTCAACGAACACAAAATGTAAATTACCTTTTCTACATATTGGGCGCTCCCATTACTGCAATAAATGTTCCATTTTGGAAAAACTTGCCTCTATAAAATCGATGATCAGGATGTTGTGGGTACCATTGTCTATTTTACTTTCAGTATTACAACTTTAGGAAAAAATGAAGGGAGCACTTGTAAGTATATTAAAAAAATGTTAAATTAACTCTATATAATATTTAAACAGTCTAATCATTGTACATAAGCCTGTTGTGACTAATTCTTTGTATTAAACATTGTACTTGTCTATACGTTACTTTCTGTTTTACTCAAAAGATAACCATAAATGAAATTTTGTTTATCCACCCATTAAACGATTTAATAATTTCTTCTTGACTAAAATTTAGTTTATTAGATAATATTTCCAGAATCATTTTAAGAATTCCTAAATATATTTACTTTTAAATCTAAAACATTTAATTCATTTATAAGATGCTCTTGCATAAGAGGTAACTTAAGGGACTTGTCTGCTTCTCTGTTTAAAACACACATATATATGTATATGTGTGTGTTTATGGATATTTTTATATACTAAGCAAAAATTTGTCTCTCTTACAGTTATTTTCACAGCAGAAATCATACCAGCCTTTTCAGATAGCTCATATACGAGTATACATTAAATTTGAGCATATTGGTGGATAAATTCACAAACTAATTAATTAATTTTAATTTAATTTTACAACATTATCATTGAAAAATTAGGATAAATTGGAAAGTTTGTCTAATTCCTACAGGAATCTTTCTATTTGTCATATTTGCACGTTTCAACATACCATATTCTTTTTTTCATATCATTTCAATTCAAATTAAATATTGTTATTTTCTGATTACAGGCGATACTTCTAGTCATAGGGCTCGTCAATTTGATAAAAGCCGATGATGGTAAATATCGACCCGAGGTAAATGGTGACAGAAGCGGTAAATACGTCGCTTCAAATGACGGAAGATACTACGATTATAACAGATATAAGAATTATTTAGGACAAAACAGATTTTACTATCAAAATGCTTTCCAACCTCAATATTATCAACCATACCAACAACTTGCTACGCCGTTCGCCACATTAAAGAAAGACGCAAGGTATTTTTTTGTCTTTGAAGTAGTTTTTTTTTATAATAACATTAATAGTAAAGAATTTTTTTTATTTGTATTATAACAATTGTTCTATCTTAATAACAATCGCCTATATCAAGAACATTTCTGGAAACAAATGCTTTGTCTAACTTGTTTCATAATGAATTGTAGTTTTAGTTTATTATACTTTTAATTTGATAGAGGCCTAGAAGTATAAGGTTTTTTGTTTCAGCGCGGCTGTCCCCGTTGTCAGTAGCCCTCAACCCGTCGTAGTAACGACAGTACGTCCCGTCTTGTCCACCGCAGCACCGATTCATATATATCCAAAAAGTTTTGGAAACGAAGGTTATGCTAGAATCTTAGACCAAGACAGCGACTCTGACGAACACAGCTACCAGTACAAATACAGGACTGAAAATGGTATAAATGCTGGAGAAACTGGAGAAATAAGCCCATCTGGAGGTACCAGAGTCAGAGGTTTTTACGAGTATGTTGGAAACGATGGTCTTACTTACCGAGTAGACTATACTGCTGATGAAAATGGCTTCCGTCCCTCAGGTGCTCACCTTGTTTGAAACCCTAAATAACATTTCGTTAAAATAAATCGATTCGAAGAGCAATTCCATAGTTTTATTGTCTTCTAACTTGTTTTTATTCACGGTCATAAAATACAAGGTACAGTTAATATATTTTATAGCTTATTTCTAACACCTTAAATAAAGCAATTGATTAAATTTTATTTCAAAATGAATACCTATTTCTTAATTTTATTTAAATTTAAAATTTTGCCGAGGCATATTGAAGTTTAACTCTCGATATTGATTTCAAGGGCACAAATATTTTAATACATTAAGGATATAAACTAGATCAATAAAAAAGTATAGGTTTCTTTGGCATACGTTCTGATATCTCAACTTCTTTCATTCTGGGTTTTGTTGGTATATCTTACAGTCCGTCATTACTTTAAAATCAAATCTGAGGCTTTAACAGTGCATTTTATACTGTAACATTAAATACTACTATTTAATATTTAATACTAAATAAATTAAAAGGTTTTTAGTTTAATTGCTTTGTTGTTTGGTGTTGTTGATTGTTGAATAAGGTATCACAACCGTCTGCCATTAATCTGATCTAGTATTGTAAAAAGTCGTCTAAACTGATGTCTAAAACCGGTTTCAAACTTCATTTTTAATACATTTGCAACTTTTTTTAATCTTTATAGTATTGAATGACCATAGGAGATTTTACTAAAATTTGCTCTTATTTCTACTTATCCATAGTTTTGTTTTCTCTTCCTCACTTAATACAAAAGAATTGTAGTAGAACAAGCACAAATTTTCAATTCAGCTTGATTAAGTGTATTGTACTGAAAAAAACAAAGTTTTGTATTAAATTAATACCTATATCTTCACTTCTCTACTCCAACCCTCAGGTACATCAATACTCTCTATATCGATGCTTTTAGAGTCTCAAAATGTTGCTTTCCTGTAGTAAACCAAGAATTGGAAAGGAGAAGTAGTATTTTCGAGAAGTAATTTTCGATAAAATCGATGTCATGAATGGAATAGATATTAATTTTCGCAAGTAAATATGTATTGGTATCTTCATAATGTGAAGTCATCATAACATTCAGTTTAAAAGCTACCACCTTTGTCAGTTGCAGCTTTACCTTATTTGTCAAACATTACGATTATACAAGTAAGGGAGAAAATATAATTTTAAAAATAAATAATAGGGTAAACCGACATTATAAACATATAAACAAGTTCAAAGAATAACCAGAACCCTTTAAAAATATTTGGAAACAAATCAAAAGAAAGATATAAGTAACTATTCAAATAAATGGAAGTTAAATTTAGAGTAAATTTTATAACTATAATGGAGATATGAGGGAAACTGGATTAAAATAACTCTAAATATACATATTTTCTACTAAATTAATTGTCGTAATATTCATCAAATATAAAGGTAATTTAATTAATTAATTTCAAATTGACATGATTAGGGACTCGTCATTACTCGCGCAATGAGTTACAATTAAGTAATGCTGTGAAATTAGTCTTTAAAGTTTTAGAAAGAGCTTAGATTTTTTTTAGCTTTTGAAATATAATTGTGATAGTCACACAGATTTGAACATTACAACTTGGGGTGCAACAATTACGATTGCTTAATATAACCTTTTTTGTTTTGTTAACACGGTAAAATGTTTTATACTTACCCCTCCATCTAAGGGAGACGGAGGCGGTTATGTGGGATTCACGGGCCAAAAGGGCACATACTACCCACTAAAACACCAGCGGTCACTCTTTATCGTCGCCAGTGGATCGCCACGGGAATCGCCAAAACATAAGTCCGCGACGATCCTAAGCAACCTTAAATCAGTATGTGGTCCTCTTTTTATAGTCCTATTGATATTGTATATATCAGAGATTATTATTATTGACGCTAAATCTTTTTTATAATTTATTATCCTTCACTGTTTTTACTTTATATAACTTCAATTCACAATTTCGATTTTTATTATTTATCTTTCTAAAATGTAAGATGCAATAGAAATATAAGGTATATATACATATATTCATGTATGTAACGAGCTATAAAGACGGTAAATAATTTTAGTATTCCATTTTTTATTGCAAATGTGAATTCAAAATATACTTGCTTTATTAAAACTAAAAAAACTTGAGTTAATATGTAATACGCATTTAATGATCTTATCCTTTATGTGTGTATTATTAAATATATTCGACCAGTAATTCCTATTTGAAATTTGTGTTTTACTTTTTTGTATGTAAAACGTAGTTTGATGTTGTTTGCATTTCAATTTTTTGGTTTTATTTCACAGCACTCTTTAAATTAGCATTACTTAAAGGTTAATTAAACAAACATTTATAATAATAGTTCCACTTATAATTATGATATAAATTATATCCAGTTTTTGGAAATTTGTTCCTTCCTATTTGTATATCGAATAAAATGATGTACGTTGAATTTTAACGACTTATATAACTCTTTGTGACAAAGTTTATTAGTCTCTATATTATACGTTTATATGTTACATAACTGCCTGTAGAAGTAACTTCTTTCTTTCCTTATATGCTGTTTGTATTATATCGATTTTTAAACAATAATAATTAAGATTTTCGCTAGTATTCATTTAAATATATACTCGTAACTAAGGTTTACGGATATTACTACGCAATTTTAATTATTTTAAAACTAGACCAGGGTAGAATCCTTTAAAAATAGTAAAACGTGAATAAAAATAATAATAGTAGGTAGTAGTAATTTTGCAGGTGGTAGAGCCTAGCTGTGGTCAAATGACTGCAGCTCGAACATTGGCTGGCACGACCGGGGAAGTACCACTCTCTCACAGAAGATCGGCGTGAAGTAGTCTTTAATTGCTGCCTTTCGTCTGGTGAGTGAGAGAGAGAGAGAGAGCCGGTTGCTTTTTCCCTTTGCCCATCCTTTCTACCCCTTTCATTTTCCTCCCTTTCCCATTTTTTCCTCGCTATATTGCCTAATCAAGGGTTGAGACTGTCTATGGGCGACGATACTATCTCCCTCAGGTAGGCCATCTGGTCGGTTACCCTCTAAACTATAAAAAAATAGCAATAAGAAACAAAAGGACGGACGGATAAATCCTCGATGGATTATTAGGGTGCTTTTCGAAATTAATTTAAAAAAGCTGAAAAAATAAATATTTCTAATCAAATTAATTACAGCGTTTTTGGGGCATAAAAATATAAGTGGTCAATATTTTCGTGTAAAAGTATAATATTTTTAAAAGATAAGGCTTCGTTTTTTCAATTTTTCACATAAATTTGGAGCTAACGTGAAAAAAGCGTACATATAAAAGTTTTAGATCTCTTTGTTACCTACAACTTTGCCATATGACTTTTTTCATAGGACTTTTAGTTTTGCCGGAAATCGAGAAAACCCGCTTTTTACCCTTAAATAAATACCCTTCCCGACCTCAGATCATCCTAAATTATTATTTTTCTTTTATTTGTATAAAACTACTCTCCTTTTATAATAGGTTTCATTTTAAGTTTTAAATATTATCGATACTGGTCTATAATCCTGATGTTTCAGTTACTTTGCAGGTACCATGATCTCATTTGAACGTGATCATAATTTTTGTTTTATTACAATAATAATATCCAAAAATTTTAGTTTTATTCAGTTTTATATAATATAAAATAAAACAACCTTGTAAATAAAAAAAATACGACCCAGATCTTTAGCTATTAGAAAATAAGTCTTACAAGATGAAGTCACTTATTTATCAATCAACTGATAGGATAATTATAGATCCTGTCAATATTTAATGATAATCTAATAACGAGGATGTGGAGAATTTTCAAACCAAATTTAATCAACCGTTTCTTATTATCTGTATGTATTGGAAATATAGGAATATAAATGCCAGTCATACTACAATTTTTACTATTAGTATTATAGCCTTTATATGCAATTGTGAAATAACAATGTACTTAAAATAATTACATTCTGTACAAATTAAATCGTTCCCTTGAAAAATAAGAAATTTAAATGAAACTAATATTTTTCGGATTTTACTTCGCGTTTTATTTTGGATAACTACATACTTCCGACGTTTCGGCTACTTTTCAGCAACCGTGATCACGGGCAGACGAGATGTGAGTGTCTGTCAGTTGGTCTGGTCATTTTATCTCCTACCGCCATCGATTTCTTAATTGTCTTGCGTACCGCTCTGGATGCCCGCAAAATGCGCTCACGGTGTCTCGAGGTCCTGCGGTGTGGTCACGGACATGGGATTTTATATTTTTAAGAAGAGGATCCCAGGTGTTTGATCCCAGCCATCTTCTCTATTGAAATTGGGGTGTTTTTTAATTTCAATAGCCTCGCGGATTAACCTTGGTATATATCTGTCTTCACGAGCGAGGATATGTGGTTGATCAAATCTAATGTAATGGCCTGGTTTGTCCAATGCATGTTCGCACACTGATGACTTCGACGCGCGCCTATTCCTGACGTCTGAAATGTGTTCCTTAACCCTTGTACCGATGCTTCTCTTTGTCTGTCCGATGTATGACAAGCCACAGTTTTATTATTATTAAGAGATTTGTGTACTTGTGTTCGGAATATTTATTGTGACTATGTCCTTTTAAATTAACTGTTCAATTATATGGAATTTATTGTGCATAGGATGTTATTAAATAAAAATGTTTTAGTTTGAGTTACACTCGCTGTCAAAGGATTCCGAATATTATCAGACCAAAAAAATATCACCTTCGTTTTTGGAGGGCTTCTTAAATATTTATTTTTAAATAAGTAAGACAGTAAATTAATGTTGTAATTAACTCAGCTAATGCTAAAAAAGACAAAAAATGCATTGAAAACAGTTTTGGGAACACAAAAAAGGAACAAAAATGTAGAAAAAAGATGAGGCGAGAAAGAATTTGAAAAAGAAGATAACCTCACAGAAAATTTTTTTTTTTTTGTTTTGAGTTACATATGACAACAGCTTGAAATTTAAAACAATAATAAGACAGGATATGCAAGCTAATAGCAAAGGAAAGTGGTTGTCATC